TTTTTTTTTTTTTAAGAACAGGATTATTTTTTATTCATTGTAAAACAAAACCAAAGGTACACATCGGATATTAAAGTACTGTATGTTTTCTCTTTAGACATGTGATGTACATGTTTTCTGGCCATTAATATGACAGCAGGCATTGGCTAAAGCAGAGCCAGAGATAACCATTATAGCCATCTGCAACCTCCTCCGCATGCTGAGCTAGGCCAGAAGCAACCTCTCGGTAGGGCTTTGACAGGAAAAAGGATTTGTAGAGTCATTTTTTTCCCCAAGTTGTCCCAGCCCCAGGAGACAACCTAGTGAACTGAAAGAGCTTTACATAAACACATGTAAGATGCTCTACAAAAATGGGTCTACTTCCAGCACAATGTACATTCATCTCCTGGTACCCAGGAAAATAGAACACAGCGATGATGCAGACTGCGCTTTTGTATTCACAGTACTAATGACTCAGCACGCAACATATAATACTTTGATGTTTAAGTGGGTCGTCATGGACTTTTCAAGTTTAGATCCACTAGTTGTGCCTGAGTATTCATCTATAAAAATGTTTGTTTTAAAAAATAATGCTTAACAATAATGGGACTACATCACGGCCAGCAAAAGACAGTGATGAAGGGACTACAAACACAAGACTAGAAGGTGAATCTCACAGGCAGCTGTCAGTCCAAGGGCTGCTCGCAGTTGAATCTTTTGTCTATAGTTTGAGAAATCTCAATATAGCCAGCTAGCTGTGAATAGCACCCTACGTCAACACTGCCATCCAGCTGGGCCACTGAGGCTGAATGACTGAAAATTGACCCAAATGAGAGCTGAGAGTGTGCAGATGCCTGCAGAGCTTGCTGGAATAAAGAGGGGATGTGATGGATGCTGTGGGAAAGGGCCCTGATTGGGATGCTGGGCATCGGCCTCCTTCAGAGGTGTCTACTGTGGGAGATGTACCTAGGTTCACTGAATACAAAGAGTTTCAGGAGAAAGGTCCCAAGAAGGTCTGGTAATGTTCTTTTTAGACCCATCAGTACTTAACATGAATGAAGAGCAGCAGCGGAAGAGAGCAACAGAGTCAGATGTTACAAGATGTATTCTCCTGTCATCATTAGCTTCTCCCAGTCCACAAGGATCCCACAGTCTGGGGGTAGGACATAGTGCCACAAATTGTTCTGGGAAGCTGGCATTGAAGATGATTTGCAAAACGATGTCACTACGAATCCACAGCTTAAGTCTAGTCCCCGACCTTCTTTTTCTGCTCTGTAGTCCAGAAACATTTCTTTAAAAGCCAGAAAATTCATAAAGATGAGTAGCATGTCGAATATGTCACCAGCAACTTCATCTTTATGGTGCTGCAGGGTTGTGAAAACCACCACATTAAATCCAGGAATCTGTTCCAGAAGCTATTCTTTAATGTACGTTTCTACCAAAGAAATATATTTGTTAAAAATAGACATATAGGTGAGTTTATTCTCTTCTGTATCTTCAAACTCCTGGTAGTACTTGTCTATGAAATTGCTCTGTAGTAACTGCAACTCATCATCCATGATAATATCTTCTAAATATCCAACTACAGCATCAAACTCTGCATCAGAGGCAGAAGAAACGGGCAGGGCAAAGGTCTCTTCCTCTAAGGCATCCATCGCTGCCATATCCCCCGCCGCTGGCAAGCGGACCTTTTAACCTCCTACCCAACCAATGGTTCGGACTCAGCCACCGCTCTGCACTGCTCCAATCGCATCAAGGGCACGCACAGCTAACCTGGACGTGGCCTCGCCACTGGGGCTTCATCTTCTTTTGACTGCTGCCAGGTCGCTCAGCCACAATTTATATTTAACATAAAGTTATATTCTTTGTCTTAGATATGTTTGGCACTAATTTTCATAGTGGTGCAGAGATACTTAATGCATGTGTGGATTCCTGGTGTGGAACTGTGGGTTAATGCATTGGACTGCAAGGTCGATTTGAACTTCAAGGTTGGCTCTTCAAGCTCACCAGATGCTCCTTAGAAACACTATCCAGGGTTGCTATGAGTCAGAACTGACTCAATGGCACTTACAACAACAATCTTACTAAATGAAGAAAATCAAAATATTGTTTAGAAATAGCTATCTTGACTTTTATTAACAAGTACATATGTAATTAGTGGCCACCGGAAATGTGATTTTCTAAAGATGGAAGGGAAAAGTTGCTGGGTATTCTGGCACAGAGATTTTACCTGCTTTTGGACAATCCAGATACATGACACTAGCAAATTCTAGGTAAAGCATTATCTTGTTTACATACGCTGGGTATACTCTGAGCCCGCGGTGGCCCCACTGCAGGGTTTGTGGAAGACAGCTGTGATTCCAAATCGAGGTCTCCTGTAGCCAGTGTCATTCTTCCATGTTTTGTACGTTCGAAGGTGTTGTAACTACTGCTGAAATTGTTATACTGTAATTTAGGGCAGAATGATAATGTTCTTAAACCAACTAGGATACATTAAGAAGGGTTTGGTATACTTTCAAAAAGTGTCTTTTTACCTTTATTATTGTATTTGGATACTGTCATGTTACAACAGTTTCAAGATGTACCTATACATCTGAGATATTATTCTTGTATTTTAGCCATATTATATTTGAATAATTCTGTGCAGAAGAATGGCTAAGGACATGGGATAAGTAACTGATAAAATCGTTTCTTGGCAGATTTCAGAGTAAAAGTGCTGTTTAGAGGCTACCTTTTCTAATGGAAAGTACCATAACTTTGTTTTAGAGAGTTATTCCTTTTAAATGAATTTACATGTGTTGCTTAATTTAATTCTTACAATAACTGAGTAACAGCCATTTCTATTTTGCAGCAAAGAGAGAGGGAAACTTTTGACAGTAAGCCCAAGGTCCTGGAATTTTAGAGAGTGATGTCTAATTTACTGGTCACTTCAAGAAAGTTTTATTTCAGTGTTCTCTATAACATAATATGTATGCCAACTGTATACCCATATGTTTATGCTGAAGTAATTGTAACTTAGAAGATTGTTTTTTAGTCACAGTTTTATAAAAAAAAAAGTAATACAAAAAGCATGTTTCACTTAAGGACAATAGGTACATGTGTATCTGTGTGGTGCATTTCTTTTTAAAAAATATTTATGGAGTGTAAAGAGTGTAATAGTAGCTCTATACAGTAACAGGCATTGTGTGTTTTTTCAGCCTCTCTAAGATTTCATTCCTGTACCAGTGAACTCTATGAAATTATTATGGCTTAAAATACCAATATTTGTCTTTCACCTAGTTTATCTGCACTTCATAAAAATGCTTAAATATTACTTCATCATCCTTAAATTTGCTTTTCAATATGTGAAGTCTGTGAGCTAATTCTTGAAAGTTTATTAAGTAATTCTGATTTTTACAGGTGTTGCAGGCTCTTAGGAATATTTAGGTTAATTTGGAACAGGATTTTTCATTTTTTTGCTTGATTTTTCATTTTTGAAAACCAGGTTACAGTAAATCCATCTATGTGCAACCTAATTATACTGACAGCAGTTTTTGTGACTCTGTACTGTAGTAGTTCAGTTAGGCATAAGATTTCTGTCTTTCCAATATCCTGATTGAAAAGCTTGTTGTTGTTGTTATTCAGTGCTATCGAGTCGGTTCCAATCCATAACGACCCTGTATAGGGTTTCCGAGGAGTGGCTGGTGAGCTTGAACTGCCAACTTTGTAGTTCAAATCAACTTTGCAGTCAAGCGCATTTACCCATGCACCACATTTACAAATAATATATGTCACTGAATATATATTATGTATTCCTTAGTAAAATTCTATTTTATAGAATGCTTGGGTAGGTCCAGCAAGTGCAGTTAGTAAAAAAGAACCAATAAAGAATACCTTATCTCTCTCCTTTTTTTCTTTTTTTTTTGGCTGTTGTTTTTGCTAAAGAAATTTATTTTTATGGCTTTGAGCCACTTCAGAATTGTCCAGTCATGGCCAGTGGTTACATAAATGTTGCATAGTGACCAAATGTTTTTTGTGTGATATTTTGACCCAGCTGTATCCTGACCTAGTCGTGCTTCACTCTAAGATTGTGGTGCAGTCAGCCGCCATCTATGAGAGGCACCACTGCCTGTTTCCAAATTAAAATTCCAGGGACAAGAGATTTGGTTGTTACAAGCTCCATTGGCCATAACTGAACTATTTCAGACCCGTTTGAAATCCTATTTATTTTACAGCCAGGTGGTATAGTGGGATATTCTTTGGACTGCTAACCAGAGTCAGCAGTTTGAATCCGCTAGCTGCTCTGCAGGAGTAAGATGGCATTTTCTGCTCCTGTAAAGACTTAAAGCCTCAGAAACCCTATACAGGACTGCTGTGAGTCAGAATGAACTTGATGGCAGTGTGTTTAGTTTTTGGTATTTGTATGAAAGAAGATCTGGTGGCACTGTGGGTTAGGCATTGGATTGCTAACCACAGGGTTGGGTTTCAAACGCGGCAGCTGCTCTTTGGGAGAAAGGTGAGGCTGTCTGCTCTGAGATTTGCAGTCTCAGAAACACTATACAGGGTCACTATGGGTAGAAATCCACTGAATGATGGCTTGATTATTTGTATGAGACTTGTCTGTTTCTATAAACAAACAGTATAACACTCCAGATGTAATGAATTTGTAGTATGTTCATGGTGAAAAAGATAGAATTTAGAGCAATAACGAAGAAATATAAATGATTAAATACAAGTACCTTCTCCTAACACTTCATGTAACATTTTTTTATGGCCTACTCTATCTCTGAATTTTTCAGTTTGTTTTCATGAAAGATAGTGTATTTGTTCATGTTTTTAATAGTTAACTGTACCTTTTGAGGTGAGCCCAGAAACTCATGGGCTTTTTGGGTGATTGCCTTAATCTGGCATTTTTTTAAGTTCTTACCAGGATCCCCTGAAGATATAGCAAGTCTTGTTGAGTACACATGCAGCCTCAGCAGCTACTCTTGCTCCTTTTTTTGGTCAGTGTTGTCAACATATCACACAACTTTTACCAATTCAGCTGTATGCAGGTATATAAATTTCTAACTGAAAGTCCATTAATCGATCGGTTGTATTACACTACCTTTAATCAATTTGTTTTTTCAACACCGTACATTGAAACTTGGTGTATGCCATAAGCAATTACCACTACTCCCCTCCTTTTTTCCCTTCATCTTGTACTTAATGAGCTCTTAAAAACTTTGGTCTTAAACATTGGGCTGCAAGCTCAGTTTGAACCACAAGGTTGGCAGTTCAAACCCATTAGCTAATCTTTGGAAACCCTATACAAGGGTGCTATGAGTCAGAACTGACTCAGCAGAACTTAACAATATTTTTATATAAGTGAGTTCATACAATAGTTATCCTTTTATAATTAACATATTACACTCAATATGTGCAAACTCCATCTATACTTTTGTTGTGAAGTTCTGTCGAGTCAGTTCCGACCCACAGCGACCCTGTATAGGGTTTCCAAGGAGCAACTGGTAAGCTTAAACTGCCGACCTTGGAGTTCAAATGGCTTTGCAGTCTGGCGCATTAACCCACAGCACCACACCAAGACTCCATCTATACTGTAGCAGGCAACAAAACTTCATTTGTCCTACTGATTGAATACTATTTTCTTATATGAATGAAGTGTATTTTGTTTATCCACTCATCCATTGATTGGCATATCATACTGCAGTGAACATTGGTTTATTGCATTCAAATGAACACCAAATTCATAAACAGATATTATTGTTGGCCTTTGGAGATATACACCTCAAACACGATGAGGTACCATTTCACTTCCACTTTGGAATCCTGGAGTGGCACTGTAAGATAATACACTGGACCACAAAGTGAGTGAAGCACAAGGTCTGTAGTTCAGAAACACCATCCACTCCTCAGAAACCGTAGACAAGGCTGCTATAAATCAGAACCAACTACATGGCACTGAACAACAACAACAACAACATGATGACTGAAAACAGGAGCCCTGTGGCTCAGTGTTGGTACATTGGGCTGCAGAGAAAGGTTGGTGGTATTAGCTCAATGTTCCCTCGAGAGAAAGGTGTGGCAATGCCCTTCTGTGAAGACTGCAACCTTGGGAACCCTGTGGTGGGTCAGTTCTACATTGTCCTATAGAATTGATATGTTTTGGCATCAACTTGAGAGCAATAGCTTGATGTTTCTGTTTTTTATTTTTAGGATGGCTAAGATTTTGTTGTTGTTAAATAAGCAGAAAATAACACATGTTGGCAAGTGTGTGGGGAATTGGAACTCTTATCCATTGCTTGTGGGAATGCAAAATGGTACAGAAGTTATACAGTGTGGTTTCCTCAAAATGGTAACTGCAGACTATAAAAACTTGTTGCTGTCGAGTCAGTTTTGATTTAGTGATGCTGGAGGAGAGAGTAGAAGCTCCCCATCCAGTGTTTCCAAGGCTTCTTGATAGAAGTAGACTGCCACGTTGTCTCCTGAGGAGAGTCCGGTGGGTTCCAACCCCCAAGTTTTCGGTTAATAGCTGAGTTCCTAATCACTGAACCATCAGAACTTCTCAGAATGACTCTATGGCCTGGCAGTGCCTAGGTATGTATGTGTATGAGGGGGCCTCAAAAAGTTTATGGAAAAATGCAACTAACAAATAAAGGAATCTTTCTGTGAACTTTCTGAATCCCATTGTGCATATGCATAGCTATTATTTTCCTCAACTCCTCAACTTTTGACAGTAAGTTGCAAACCAAAATACCATTATCAAAGAAATATAAAATTTATTAAATATTGTTATTTGTAGTTCATATATAGAATATACTGTATTGCAATTCTGACCCCCTCCCACCCCAGTTCTGAGTGGATCCAGAAGCCTCAGAGGCTTGTAGTTACTAAATGTAAGACTCCTTAAGCATGTGGGACTTGGAACAGGACACAGCAACACAAAAAAAGTCCACCCAGGAACGTAGAGTTTTCTGTGACGCAGTTGGCAAGTATGTTACTGACCTAGCAGGGAAAGGGGCTTGCTATAAAGTTTCACACATACTTTGAGGATGTAAATAATGTTTTTTGTTTTTTTTTTCCATTTATGTATTACTTTTAGAACTTTGTATGGAGCATGTTTAAAAATACTAAAAATGGCATCTATTAGCTTACTTTCCCCACAGATTTTCCACAAAAATTTTCAGTCAGGAATTTAATTCTTGAGATTAAGGAGTAAATACAGACTGATTATCACCAGATTGACAGTTCAAATCCACCAACCATTCCATGGAGGAAAGATAAGGCTTTCCCTTAAGAACCTGTAAAGATTAAATTTCTTGGAAACTCTATTCATTGTTGCTATGAGTCAGAATCGACTCAATGGCAGTAAGTTGGTTTATATACTGTAAGGAACCTTGGTGGTGCAGTGTTTAAATGTGCTTGGCTGCTAACAAAAGACAGCAATTTGAACCCCCTAGATGCTTCATGGGAGAAAAATGTGGCGGTCTGCTTCTATAAAAATTGCAGCCATGGGAAATGTTACGGGAGTGAGAGTGGGAATATCCCCACAAATATAAAAGGGCTTGACAGAGGGCATTTGTACATCCTCAAACATACCTATGAATGTGGTGGAGCATACAGGGAGTAAAATAGTGAAAACTTCTTACATATTACCAAACACCTTGAGGCAATGAGTTGCTGAGTCTTGGGGCTCAAAACCATGGTCTCATGGGACACCATGGTCAATTACCATAGCTTAGTCCACAAAGACAATATTCTGCGCCCTACTTTGTTGAGTAGTATCTAGGTATTTAAAGCTCATGAGTGGTCATCTAAGGTACAATTGTTGGCCTCTCCATATGTAGAAGAAAGAAGAGTGATGAAAATTGAAGATGCTTAGAATTAGTCTCCATGACTCTGATATCAGAAGAACTAGGTGGTGCCTAGCTACCACAACCAACTGTCCTGAAAGTGGTCACTTTAGAAGGTTCTGGAAAGACAGTGTGGAACAAAGCTCAAAACTATATAAAAAAGTAGTTGTACTAGTCAGAAAGAGACTGAAGGAACCTGAGACCATGCCTCTCAGCTATCCTTTAGTTCTGGAATGGAACTTGCCCTTGCAGCTCAATTTTCAATCAAGCTGTAGAAAGGTGTATACTCCCTGTGGAATGGTCAACCATTCAAAATCAAAAGGGCAACATTCACCTAAGGAAAAAGTTGAGAAGGGATGTGAAGAAAGGTGGACTGGAAGTAAGAACTATAGGGGAAGTGGGATAACTGTTACTTCAGGGAGAGGATTGGAATCATTGAGATGACACAAAGTATAGGATTTGTTGAATGTAAAACTGATGATGTGCTCTGTAAACTTACACTCAATTCAAAATAAAACGTTTCAATATGTATGTATATTATATATATATATGTTGTTGTTGTTATGTGCCGTGGAGTCGGAACCGACTCATAGCGACCCTGTACAGGGTTTCCGAGGGTGTAAATCCTTACGGGAGTAGAAAGCCTCATCTTTCTCCCGCGGAGCAGCTGGTAGT